AATGAACCAGGTGACGAGATTGATATAGAAGACAATCTATTTGCATTAATTAATGCACTATCAAAGAACAAGGATCTTAAAATACATTCTGACTATTTTAAAATAGAAATGCAAGAGGATGAAACACTTGACTTTTTTAATGATTTTAATCTAGTTTACATGGATGAAAGGGTATATGGAAGGGTAAGAATACATATAGAAGGACATCATTGCAGACTAGATCTATTGGGAGATTCAATATTGAATGAGAATAAACCAATTATTAAAGAGAAGCTCAATGAAATCTGGAATGCATATGATAATCCAAATAATTATATAGAATGTATAATTAGGCATTACATTTCTGTAGAGTTGGCTAAAATACAAAGTAATTATGTGTACGAGGATAATTCTGTTAAAAGCATAATTTTAAATAGTATTAATGCCGGTAGTTACAGAGGTGTACTTACTATATTCTTATACGGAAGAATTGAATCGCTTGGACACAAGAAATATATTGTTACACACTTCTTGATGTTACATGCTAATTCGATTATAACTGACCCCTCACTAGCCCGAATGACAGACAATATTATAGGATGTTCCCAAATGGATCGCTTTTATATAAGAAATAGTATATTACAAGGCTATTTTTTCAATCCAAACGCTGAAGAATATTATACAAAAATTAGTGTAAACATCTGGAGATGTTGTTTAAAAATACACATTGCTGAGTCATTTAAACCATTATGCCAAGCATTGTTTCTATCTACAAACGCTGTAGATAATATCTTTATATACTGTTTTATTGAGCTAATGAAAACAGTAAGTAAATCAGATGAATGGTATAACTTGATCAATGATTATCACTCTATGATTAAGGATATACTTTATTATTTAGACCATACAACTAAACCTAAAATTGACACATTTAATGAGATAATGGGTATTATTTGGTTATCATTTAATCAACGAGATAAGTATAGAGTAGCAAATATCTACTTGGCTTGGTTTTTTAATATATTTTCATACGAGAATTTACATGATAAAGAGGTATGTTTGCTATATTTATTCAATATTATAGATAATAATTATCTTGTAATAGAAGATAAACAAAATATTCGATGGAGTATTGAAAATGAGTACTTCATATTTAATTATTTAGATGCTAATAGAATTATATTATGTAATAATGATGATGAACGTACTGAAAAATACAATAAGATTATACAAATATTGACTAATAGTGTTGGTTTTGATCCTAGGATGAACCATGCCTAATGTGGAAGCCTCTTACCCACGTCTTGGAAGTCTTATAGAACTGTCATAATTGGAAATTGTGACTATATAAGATGAGAATAATAATAAATTTGAATCAATGTTAATTCTGTACAAGGGAATAACTAACTAATAGTACAACATATACCAGTAAATATATAATTATATTATATAATTATTCTATTATAATTGGTATTTAAAAATAGAAATAAATTATATTTTTATTGAATTTTAAAATAAATTATTTACACTTTCTTTTATTTCAGTAGAAAACGTGAACTATGCATGATTTATTAAAAATAAAATATTATTTATGCCTTACAATATATACAGAATATTATTAGGGGCCTATATAGTAATAATTAGTTTAATAAAATTTTATCTTGGTTTAATTTGTTGGCAGCACAGAAGATAAATTATTTTATTTCCAATAAATCCTTTTTAGAATTACTACTTATAATGAAAAGTATTAAGATATTATTAATTATATACTTATCGTGTATATTAATTGCTAATGGAGTGATTGCATGCGACATAGAAGAAGAAAAATCAAATAAAGAAAAACATTCAAACAATTTAGCAAAGTTAACCCTAGAAGTTAGTTTACATTGTAATACTCATATAAAAAGACATGAGAAAAATAAAAAGCAAAGAGATTCTAATGCATTGTCATTTGAGAAGATAGATTGTGATAAAGAATCTGTATTATCAGATAATGTAGAAATAGTTTCAGTCACGGTACTGTCCGCAAAAGATCGAAAATATTATTCTATGAGAGCTATTTCTGCAGAAGAAAAAAACAAGAAAACGCATCTAATGACAAAAGAAGAATTAAAAAATTCAATTGATTCTAATTTAGATAATATATCTATGAAAGAAAAAAAGTTAATTCACATGCTAAATGCGATTTCTAAGTTAAGCCCTGGGCTACCCAAAGTAAACTATTCTAAGGACAAAAAAATTATTACTGCAATTATTAAGAACATGGATGTAGTTGTAATTAAAAGAGAAGAGCTTCTTTATAGAGATAGAGATCATTTAAAAATCACTCTGCAGCAAGTACTAAATGCTGCTGCCAATGAAGAGAAAAAACATCAGTATGCAATTATGAATCATATGAAAATAGCAGTTACTATTTCTTATCCGAAAGAAATCCAGCATAATCCAATCATAGTGCATGCTCTTCTGGAGTATTATGGAAACTCGCTGGGTGGTATATTTTCTTTAGCACTTAATAGGTTTCAATTATTAATAAGACAGTTGTTTCATTTAAGCATAAATTTAAAAATGCATTAAGTATTCTTATAGTAATATTTATAACTGTTCTTATGGTTATTCTGTGTATAGTTGGAATATTCCCTAATGAAGCAAAACAGCTAGTGAATAATTATAAATAAGTCATTACTTTAATACTACTATATATAATAAATCATTTCATTTATAATGAGCATACAATATACATTACAGTACATTTCTTATTATACTCAAATTATTTCATTTTATAATATAATACACATAGTGTCCTATATTATAATTATTTATACTACACCGTATAATATATTTTATTTTTTATACCCATGCAGTAATAATTAATACTTTTAAATCATAGTATAATAATTAATAGACCTCATCATGTCTATAAACTGATGTATACTAGTATATACTAGACTGGTTAATAGTTTATACACATTGTGCATAAAGTATTATATAATATATAATGTACTATATATTATAACCCATTTTTTACTTTTTATATAATTAACAGTAAGTTATAACATTCTTTTTTAGTTAAGATAGTTTATTACTGTATAATAGCCATTAACCAACAACCGCCTTATACGCCACTAAGCCACCGCATGGCCATAAGATAGCCATAATAAGTTAATGACTGTGACTGATAAGGTAGATGGACATGGCTTATACAGCACACAGTCAGTCAGACCAGACCAAGCACTGAGTCATCCGTGCTTAAGCAGCCCTTTAATAAGTGCATCAACTGACTCGTTCGTTGGTGCTTGTGGTAGTGCGCCTACCACCAGACAGATCGCATTAAATAAGTGCAGCCATTGAACTCGCTACTCATGGCACACCAACACATGCACAGCCAGGCCAGACCAGACCAAGCACACGACCAGACCAGCACAGGCTTAGTTAGTTTTTTTTAGGTTAAAACAGTTTATTGAAGGCTTAGTCAGTCAGTGGGTCAGTCAGTGGCTTAGTCAGACCAGTACGGTTAGTCAGTGGCTTAGTCAGACAGACCAGTACGGTTAGTCAGTGGCTTAGTCAGACAGACCAGTACGGTTGGTTAGTCAGTAGCTTAGTCAGACAGACCAGTACGGTTAGTCAGTGGCTTAGTCAGTTAGTCAGGGTACTTGGATCATCATGGGAGGGCCTTTCCATCCCACTTGAATCTTCGACGGGTTCGCTTAGTGGTGCCAGTGCCTGTGAGTCCACGTATGCCTGGTTACGTCTGGTTCTGTTCACATATGCCTGGTTACGGCTGGTTCTGTTCACGTATGCCTGGTTACGTCTGGTTCTGGCTGGCCCCATTTCCAGTGACAATTTGCGACTTGCGTTTATCTCTTTAGTTCAATATTTTATTGTTCTCCTTTCGTTTCAATTGGATGGGCATCGTCCTGGTTGGGTCGCTAAACCAACTGGGACTTGAAGTTGTCCTTATGGTGGGCTGGTCACTCCGTGGCTTATTATTCTGTTACTGGTGCTGATTGCTGTTATAGTGCATGGTTAGTGGATTAATGGTCTGTTACTGGGGGGACAGACTGTTGGTTTACTATTCTGTGTACTGGGTCATTTACTGTTGGATGAGTGGCTGTTGAGCCATTCACTCTTCTTATGATGTTCTTTATGGGCCTGTGTAATGGATATTTTATGTATCGGGTTATGTCGGGTTATGTTATTAAATAAATACAGATTATGGTATACATTTATAATTTATAGTACAGTGTAGTAATAATTATACTTATTATGCATAGTATAATAAGTATTGATGAAATAAGGGAATACTAAATATTATACATTATAGTAAATATTCTATTACTTATTACACATATTAACATAACATAATACACAGTGTATAGTAAATTATACACACTAACAAAACTTATTACTTAGTATGCTATGTATATTATATTCTATTACTTATCACACATTACTTATTATATTCTATTACTTATTGCATATTATACTTATTAGGTCATTACTTATCACACATTACTTATTATATTCTATTACTTATTAGATTATTACTTATTACACATTGTATGTTATATTCTACTTATTATGTTATGTGTAATAAGTAATGGTATACTAATAGAAATATTAAATATTGCATATTATACTTATTAGATCATTACTTATTACACTATGCATATTATATTCTATTACACTATGCATATTATATTCTATTACTTATTACACATTGCTTGTTATATTCTACTTATTATGCTATGTGTAATAAATTATAAATAGTAATTCGTGATTTCTTTTTTATGAAAAGGAAAGAAGAGGATTTGCCGTACACAGGCAGAACATTCGTGGTCACAGGAACAACAAAAACACCAAGAGAAGATTTAGTTAACAGAATAAGAGAATTAGGAGGGAAAGTCACTCTGGGAATATCTGGGGTTACAACATATTTAATAGCAGGAGAAGAACCTGGCCCAGCTAAACTTAAAAAAGCAGTTGCCCATGGGACAAAAATACTATCAGAAGAAGATTTCATAGAAATGACCAGTCATTATATAATACTACCAATAGAAGTAAAGAAGAGTAAACCAGAAGTGTACTCAAAGGAGAGATGGTGTGATAAGTATAAGCCAGAGACATCTTCAGATATTCTTGGTAATAAACAGACTATTACACAACTAAAAACCCATTTATTATCTATGTCTAGAGCACCCATTCTACTCACGGGGAGTTCTGGGTGTGGTAAGACACTCTCAGCATATTTAATAGCAAAAGAATTAGGGATATCACTGATTGAGTATAATGGGGCTGATTATAGGAACAAGCAAGAAGTATCAATAATAAAAGGACTCTCAACACAGAAATCACTTACACATGGGATACACTTACATAAGAATAAAGCACTCCTTATGGAAGAGATAGAGAATATGACATCAAGTGACAGGGGCGGGTTACAGGAAATACTGAATTTATTCAAGGAGACTAAAATACCGATTATACTTACTACTAATAATAAGGGCAGCCAGAACCTTAAAACAATTATTTCTAAGTGTAAGGTTATACCGTACAGTAAAATAGACAGTAGAAGTATTACTAACTTATTAAAAACCATAACAATTAAAGAGGGAATATCTGTACCAGAGAATACTTTAATGCAAATATCAGTGACAGCAGGTGGTGATGTAAGATATGCAATAAATATGCTGCAGTACTTAAGCAAAAAGGATCAGATATCAACTGAAGATATAAAAATAATGGGCAAGCATATTACAAGTAGTAATTTATTCGATGTAACTAAAGAAATCTTACAGTCTTATAATTCGCCTGCACATAAAATCAATTTATTCTTTGAAGAACCTTTATTTGCACTTCTCATGGTGTTTGAGAATTATTTAGGGGAGGATACGTTAAAATCAATTGCAAATACGGCAGATACGCTTAGTACAGCAGAAATAATCAGTGGTAGAATGATTAACTCAGATGAAAAAAGACTATTCCCAGTGGCAGCGTATTATACTGCAGTTAAGCCCAGGATTAAAATATCCAGTAAATTAGCATTTAGTAAATACATTGGCCAAATATCTGCACAGAGTGCATCTAAGAAGAAAATGGTTAGAATAATCAATGAGTCTACAAAGAGAAGTTTTCGTGGTGGGTGGTCTGTCCTGTATAACTGGCTTAGTACTATGCTTATGCTGGAGAGTAAGAATACCCATAAAGAAGATATTCTAGAATATATTCATGCATTAAATATGGATAAAACAGTTCTACAAGCACTCAGTGAATTAACTAACATAAAAATCAAACCAAGCACACTTCCATTAATAAAGCCACAGAAGGAGTAGGACCATTAAATCTATTTTTGTATCCATGGCGTGTGACAGAATTTAAAATAGTATTATAATACATAAAGAGAAAATGTTTTATTGGTAATGAAGAAATTACAGCAGAAAACCAAAACAAAGGATAATTATTTAGAAGAATTAGAGAGCGTAAACTATAAAACATCCTTAGAAGCAAAGAAAACACTTAACAGTATTCTTAGAACTACGGACAAAACCACGGCTATGCTGTATGAACAGAGAGAAGTACTTGAAGACATAAGAAATGACTCGTACACAGCAAAGGATAATTTAGAGAAGAGCAAAGGATTGACAGTTAAAATGAAAAGAGCAGGAAAACTCATTGTAATTGGTGATAAAGTCAGTGATAAATTAAAGAGTATTTTTAAATCAGCACCAAAACCAAAGCAGAACTTCCCCTCATTCACTTCACCAACAGACCATGCAGCGCCAGACTCAGAAGAATTCCCCACAGAAGAAAAGGAAATAACAAAAGAAACAACAAATGATGTACTAATATCTATAAGAAATGGGCTTAAAACCCTACACAGTAAGCTTGATAAACAGAATAAAGAACTGAACAGTCAAAACCCATTAATCCAGGATATAACAGAAACCAACAAGAAATCCTCAACAGAAGCAGAAAAGGTAATGAAAAGTCTTAAAAAAATATAACCCAAAATAAATGAAATTATTATAATTTTATAATGAAAAAAAATTAGCATTGCTCAGAATAGAAGCAGAATTTAAAGAATTAGTCTACAGCAGTAATGAAAAAGTCTCTTTATTATGTGAAAATGAGAGTTTTATTCTTGTGTATACGCTTACCTTATTAGATGGTTATTATAAAAATCATACTTATGTGTTTAATATTAACATACCACAGAATTATCCATTCAGTCCTCCAAAACCTGTCTGTATAACAAAAGTACTGCACCCATCAATTGATGACTTAGGAAGGATTTGCTTAAACATAACGAGAGAGGATTGGTCTGTACAGCAAACTCTGCAAGTGGTAATATTTGGAATATCTTCAATATTTTATGATGTACCAACTGAGAATCCATTCAATCAGAAAGCGCATTCTTTATTAATGAAGAATCCTTCTGATTTTATAAAAGAGGTGAATTTAGTATATAATAGTAATAAAATATAATACACACTGTGTAAAAAATAAAAATAAAATGAGCAAAACTTATTACTATTTACACAATGTATAATAAATAATGTAAAATATAATACACATTGTGTAAAAAATAAAAATAAAAATGTTTAAAGTACAGAGAATTACTCAGCATACAGTAAAACAATTGTATAACCAGAATACGTACTCTATACATATGCTTATTTATTCTATTATATTATATATTAATAATATATTTATATGTAAATTAGTATATAATAGGATAATCCTATCTGTACACATATCAGAATACGTTATAATAATTATTTCTACTGGTTTACTTTTTTATGATTATAAAAAAAATAATTATTTAACTCTTATTAAGGAAATACCTATTAAAGGCATTTTATACAGTAAATGTGCTGATGAGTATATTATACTGTGTATACTGGATGGCAATAGAGTTATAAGTACTATTTACAATACAAAATTACTAGTAGAATATAGGATAAGTAATAGTATATGTATAAAAAATTATGTAAATCCTGTACTAAGTGTTATAGAGAGGGGTAAAAATATTCATGGAATAGAAGAAAATAGAATTTGTGTAGAATATTCTGATCATAAAGTATATTTAAGGAATTCGGGTGAGTGTTTTACTGAAATTTCAACGGAAATATTTGATAAAGGTATATTAAAAAGCAGAAAAACTGTTAGAAATATATTTATAGATAGGAGAAATCTACTTAGAATAACACCAGGCCAGATTACACATATAAGAATAAGCACACACAGGAATATTCTAGCAGAAAAAACGAGCTATACGAGGATATCAGAGACTTCTAATGGACTAATAATATATACAGAAGGTGTTTCAGGTTATAACATATACAGAGAAGAGTATAAATATATCTTAGAAGTACTAAACCCACGGGATGAAGTGGATTTAAAGGAGTCAGAGAAAGATAGAAAACATTCTAAAGAAATAGTATTTGGTGAAGGGCTTCCTTCTGTTATATTAACTCCTGTGCTATACGCATACATAACAGAAAAATATATTCATCAATTATTATATACAGGCACTGTAGAAGTGTTTATACGAAATAATGAGAATATAGAGTATGTTAGGTCATTTGGGCCTATATCTGTGCACGGTTTAACTGACTTTTACTGTTTTTCTACATATACGTCATCATTAGTAGTACTTGTATATGAAAATTTACACTTTGAGGTAGTAGAGTATTCATACAAAGCAGAAAACTGTTCATCATTACCTGCGCCAGATGGAATAGTTGATGTAATGCGGTTTAGGAAAGATATTGTGATAAAATACGATTCAGGCTATGCGAAATACTCCCTTAACAAGAAAAAGGTGCTTGAACAGATGGATTTAGATGTAGAAACAGGAATACTTCACTCATTTGATGCACCAAATATGAATGTACAGCACTCTCCCGTGATTTTTACTAAATCCAATGATAATATTATATCTGTACACTGGAGAAATTCAATTTTAGTAAGAGATAGCACTATTAACAATTTCTATTTATTACACCGTGGGTACATATATTCAAAGGGGTTTAGGCTAATCCTAACAAAAGAAGAAATTTCTTTTCCTTTTACAATATATTCACTTTCTGTTTATAATACAGCAGAAAGAAGTACTGTCCTTGTATATTTGTCTAGTGGTAGCATACATCTACTTTCTGTTGTTAATGGGAGTGTAATTGGAAGATTAGAATTATACCATAAAATATCTTGTAGTTGTTTACGCATGCTATCACTTGACTCGTTTTTATGTATTACAGGAAATAATACATTAACGGTTTTTGGTGGTGATGAGTATATTTATCCAATATTACGTGTAAAATTACCTGGGATGATTGAGGATGTTTCTACTTCACAAAATAATATTTTGGTTGTGACAGATAATAATGATATATACTGCTTAGATAAGATAGATATAAGAAATTCTACATACACTGACGACCCTTCACTAATTAATGTTGTACCTATAGAATATTAAACGTATTTTTAATTAAAATTTCCGTTATTTTTTGTATTTTCAGATATTTAACTTTTAGTAATTTTCGGGTATGAAAAACTTGTACACAATTTTTATTATAACTGAATACTTTTGAAAATTTAAAATTATTAAAATTTATTTAACTGTGAAATGTAGTTCTTGTTAATTATTCTTATTATAACTGACACCATGGGAATATACCTAAGAGTAGTAAATCTATGAATATAATGAATTACTCTTGGAATAAACCATTTCTTATAAATGATAGATCTACTTTGTGTCCAACTAAATCTCTGATATTATTCATTTGTCTTCCTATCATAACAGGCCTTTCTAAAGAAATACCCCATCCAATCACACGGACATCTTCTGGGTACCCCATTGGAAGAAGCATTTCTGGCCTAAACATACCAGAGTTGCCTATTTCCATCCACCTTTTCATTTCTTCATGATATCCGAATACTTCCATACTTGGCTCTGTATACGGATTGTACGCCGGCTTATACTTTATCTTGCTTATTCCTAGCTTCTTAAAGAACTCTTCCATGAACCCCATTAAATGCGAGATTGTTAGGCCAACTCCCATAATTATGCCTTCTACCTGATGGAACTCTGCTAAGTGCGTGGCATCAAGTGTTTCATTTCTGAACACTCTGTCAATTGAAAAATACTTTCTGGCATAGTCATCTGCTGTAGCACTGCTGAAATCTATATCCTGTGCTATTTTGTACAGCAGTCTTGTTGTCACGGCAGTGGTGTGCGTTCTAAGAACATTCTTCCTTGATTCCTCTACACTCCACGGAGCCTTGTATCCAGAAGATCCATAGCCACCCACAGTGTGCACCGTCTCCACGCGCTTTAAATACTCACTTTCTGGATCCTTTGCATACGCTGGGTCTGCCATGAAAAATGTATCCTGCTCATTCCTGGCTGGATGTCTCTGTGGCTGGAATAATGCATCGAAATTCCAGAATGAGGATTCAATGTATTTCCCTGCATCCATTTCTTCAAACCCCATTAGTAAAAATATATTCTTCACCTTCTCCCTTTCCATTGACAGTGGGTGCAGTGCTCCGCCATACTTTGAAAGAGTAGCAACAATGTTGAAGTTGTACTTCTTAAGATTACTTGCTAATTCTATCTTATTTATCATTTCAACTGTTATGTCACTCACTGCAGCTTCAGATACAGAATATTTCTCGCCTTTTCTTAAGATATAGTGCGTTGTTTTCTTCTGAATTAAAAGCTTTCGTTTCTTTAACTCTGTGATTTCTTGGGGTGTTAACTCTCCTAAGCTTTCTAATTGTTGCTTCGTTAAATCCTTGCTAAAATTTTGATTTCTTGCTAGTTTGCCATTGTCTATTTTCAGTATTTTCATACGAAGCCCGTTGTTTTTTCCTTTCTTTATAAATTCAAGAATTTCCTTCTCTGTTTTTCCTGTAAATTGCTTACTCTCTTTCAATTTATTAACAATTTCCTGATCACCCATTGATGCCTCAAGTATAGAATAAATAATATACTCGGCCGAGCCATATTGTAGAATATCCTTAGCCTCTTCTGTTGTCACTATCTCTTCCCTTTGAACAGGACTGCTGGTAATCCTCTCAAATGATTCTAGCCTCTTAACTGCCCCTATTATTTCTGTATACTCTCCTTCTATTCCAGTGGTTTCTATTTCTTCTGTGTTTTTTAATGCAGTCAGTATTTTCTCTTCTACATTTTCCATGGTCATGCAGTAAAAATCCAGAAAAATAATTTATTATTATTAGAGCTAAGCTAATTTGCTTGGATAAAAATAACGGATTATTGCTAAAAATAGCATACCAGATAAGAATTAGAAGGTTTATGCAAATAACAGATAAAAATAGAAGTATTTAGAAATTCAGAGTAGTTTTAGTTATTGTTTTATATTTATATATTACGCAGTCTGTACTGTATTTGGTGCTTTAGGTATTTCTTCAATAATTGCTGTGCACACTTCAGTAACCAGCGCATCACTCTTTGATAATGACCACTCTTGTATTTTTTTAGACATATCAGTTATTGTTGTTATTTTAGTAAGTGCCTTAACCACCTCCACTAATAAATGATGCGGCGACTGCTTACTATGGCCATCTATATGATCATCTTCCTTGGATTGAGATATTTCGTTTTCTGATGCAGTCAGTGTGTGCCTCTCAATTAAATATGACTTAATCACTTCACACAGTATTTTCATTGGGCTTTCCCTCTCTGCTGCCTCTTCAAAGAGTTTTTGTGCAGTGGCTTTTATGTCTGAGTCATCCAGAAGAAGAAGAGAAAGTGCCCAGTAGTTGTCCTTTACTTTAACCATTCCACTTCTTAGTAGGTGCCTAATAAGCACTAAAGCAGTCATTTTTACTTCCTCTGACTGGTTCTTTAGGGGCAGGAATAAACTATTTCCTGCATTTTTTACTAAACTGCTGAATGCCATAACTGAGTCCGCAATAATTACCAATGCAATTATCTGCAGGTGGTCAGATCCGGTTTTTAGAATATTTATAACATCATTCATAAAACGAGAGCTGCACTCACTGCTAATGCTCATTATTTTTCCTAAAGACAGTAAAGAGACTTTTTTGACTGTTTCATCTGGGCTGTAAATTCCTGTCACAACGATATCCAGCAGTCCCTTCAGCGCAGAAGTTTCTCCAAATAATATTTCGTGCTCCTTTGCAAAAAACACACGATCTGCCATTTCTTCTTGCTCTTCTGTTGTGTTTTTAAAACTGTTCCTCTTTGATCCTACGCTCAGTCTCCTTTCTCTGATCTCCATGTTTGAAATGCTTTCTTTTCTCTTTTTGCTTGCGCTGACAGGAGTTTTTGTTTTTGCCTGATTATTCCACGCTGCTTCAACTCTCTCCAGATGCACTGCCTGCTTTATCGCTATGTGTCCAACTGCAAAAATCACAGGAAGCGGATTTTCGCTTGCAAGAAGTGTATCAAGCACCTCAACTGCTAGCTCATCTGGATTCATACTGATTAAATACGCAGTATCAATTACTGTCTGTACTATTTCCAGATTGTTGTTATCTGCTAAAGAAAGTGCATTTACCACTGCACGAATCGTCTCCGATGAATTTCCTGATCTATAGTCAAGATTACCAAGAATTCTAATTGCCTCACATATTATAGACCTATCCGTGCTCTTCCCCAGTACTGCGTAAATTCTGGGCAGCGCACTTTCAGTTACTGACCGGTCTGTAGTGGACAGCCTTCTAAGTAGGCGCAGATGCATTAGAACATCTTTTTCCTTATCTATTTGGTAGAACAAAGTGTTAATCGCTTCTATTCCAAGTATTCCTCGTAGTGTAAGGTCTCTAATAGTCCCCTCATACGCTAAACTGTCTGAATCAAAATGAATTAAAAGATCTATTAGCTTTTTCGGGTTGCCATCCACCATTTTTCTTATTTCCTCTGAAAGAACATCTGCTGCATTGCGCCCATCTAGTGTTAGTCTCTGCCAAGAAAATAAAAACAGACTTGGGAATACTTCTAGCGCATTCTCTATGCCATATGAATAACACAAAGATACATATTGTATTATTTCTGTTATTTCGCCTTTACTACCAGCCTTCAAAAGTTGCTTTATCACCTCAACACTCGTATGTATTGCCTGATAAAAAGAAGTGGCACTGGCATAGTACGCCGGGTCTGTTTTTTCGTGCGCTTTTAACCTCTGCAAATTAAGCATTCCTCCATCTAGTACATACGGATGGCTTTCTAGTGCTCGCTTAAAGAAAATAATTGTTTTCTTTCTTACCATCTGGGTTTTGTCCATAATCCTTCCGTGCAGTGAAGTGTACACCCGTTCCTTTAAGTTTTCAAGAATCCCATTGTTACATAATATGTCTGTAAGAGACTGAACCGCCCGTCCCCTGCAAAAGGGGCTTACATCCATTGTTCTTTCTATAACAGCAGAAATAATAGTTGCCAGCTCTTTTTCACCCTTCCTCTCCTGCTCAATCTGTGCCTTTAGGGCTTTTGATATTGAAACAGCAGACTCACTCGCCGAATTTCTAATGCACTGCACCTCAGATGTTATACTCTGTAGAAGAGGATTGATTATATCAGAAATGCCCTGCTGCCTAATTGATTCACATACTTTAAGTATAAGACTGCTATAGTTCTTTTGAATCACCGTGTCTTTACTGTGCTCACTCTCCTGAAGTAAATATTCTAAAATTTCCCCAAGTAAATTTTCTTCTTTTGCATTAGAATCACTCACACCCGCACTAATCTCTTCTTTATCACTCTGTACATTAATTTTTCTGAGTGCACTAATATACAAAATTGTCTCTGTTAAAATACTAGTTGTGTGCTCATACTGTAGCATACTCAATGAATTGTACATAATTGATTCTGTGCTAAACTCAATCTCTTCAAATATTTTAAAAACTGCGCTTTTTACTTCTATCTGTGCCTTTTTCCCTTCTAACGACTTGAAAAGCACCTTACACAGTAAATCAAAATTACCTGAAACTTCCCCACACAGATCCCTGCTTTTACTAATTATACTAAGAACAGTGCTAGAATCCGTTTCAACCGTGTCAGGCTTAAAATACGCCGGAATTGTGCTTAAAAACACAGTTGTGTTGTCTATATTGCTAAAAATACCTGTTATAATCTCCTTTTTTAACGGATGATTATGTAAGTTAGAAAACAGCTGAGTGTACTTATCTGGCTCCTGACTAATCGGTACGTCTTTAAGATGAGAAATAAGCAATTCTAGCTCTCTTCCTTCTGCCATTTAAAATAAAAATGACAAAACAAAATTGGCTTAAATTTATTTTTGTATTTCTTTCCTACTAATACAGCTATAATACAATAAAATATATTTCTCATTTTTATTACAAGTATATAATAATATTTATTATGAATAAGTTATACTACAGTAGAAATAATCTAAAAATAAAATAAACTGCTCAGTTTTTGTTAATAATCAGGTACACCACTGTGCCTGTATTTATCATTATTTCAACTATACTTGATATAATAAAGAAATATTTTAGATATTATCTATGAACTCTGCTATACTGGGCTATTTAATATATATTGTCTGATGTATTTTTAGTTGGTTTATATATTCATAATAAATTTATGAGACTTACTAATACGGTAGTTTATTTGTGTAAATGTCTATGCCTTTCTATTATTCTGTTTTGTTGATGGGACTAAATTCAGTACTAGTGGCTGAATAGAGTCTACATAATAGATTCCTCGCTTTTCAATTTGTAAAAAGTCTCCTTTTACTGCGAACTTAATCCTTTCATCGCACTCAAAGGTTTCTTTGTGCACAGAGTTCTCGTTAAACACCTCAGTTATACTCCTTTCGTCTAATTTATCCACTGAGATTAAATCACCATACTCTACGACTGTTGCTGTGCATGTTTCCACAGGTAGCCACGTAAGTCTGGCTTTTGTATACTTGGGGTGAACTTCATGAGGTCTTACTTTCATAGGAGACATTTCAATTATTTTGAATGTTCCTAGTCCCATGAGTGTAATATCATCTTCAAGAGAAACAGTGCCAAGATCGTTAGACGATACATATATGGACTCTGTAACAACTCTGTCGCTGGATTTCAAGTCATTTACATCTGCTACGATCTGAATGCAGTGCATATCTCCTTTGCATATTCCATGAATTTTATTTGCAGTTTTTTCTACTATTTTAGCATTGATTGACCATAATTTATCCCACTCCAAAAGAACTGTATTCTTTGATGGGCCTTGCATGATTACATACTCTTTTAGTGCCTGTTTTGTGAGGCCTTTCCTGAGTATTCCTCTAATTGTTGGCATTCTTGGGTCATCCCACCCGCATACCTTGTGGCTTTCTACTAGCTGCTTTAGAGACCGCTTGCTTAAAACTGTTTTTTTGAAATTTAGCCTAGAGAAGTCCCATATAATAGGCCTATTCTTTAAGTCCAGCGCAGATATAAACCACATGTACTGGGCATTTCTATCACGGTACTCATTTGTTCTTAGTGTAAGCGTAATTCCTTCTATGCTGTCAATCACTGGACATGCAAAGTCATATGTTGGATATACTCTGTATTTTGCTCCCGTGTAGTGGTGCGGAGTTAAGTTCACTCTGTATATTACAGGATCTCTCATAGCCTTGTTTAAGTCCTCCATATTGATTTTAGCCCTTAAACAGTAATCATCACACTCGTTTGTGCTTATCATTTTGTTGAAAATGTTCATATTATCCCGAATAGAAGCAGTTCTGTTCTTTGAGTGTACACCCTTGTCCCTTTCCATTCTCATCTGCTCAACCGGTGTGTTGTCACAGTATGCTAGGCCCAGCTCTATCATTGTTTTAGCAGAACTAAGCAGAAATTCAAAGTTGTCGCTCGTACGCGTATGCGCATTTGCCTTTATGCCAAGTGATGCAATGTCCTCCATAATACTCTCCTCAAACTCTTCGTTTTCTTTCGTAGGGTTTGTATCGTCCATCCTTATTATTAACTTTCCATGATACTTCTCTGCAAAGTATTGGTTAAGCAGCGCAGCCTTGGCGTGGCCTATGTGCATATAACCACTTGGCTCTGGTGGAAATCTAGTTACTACTCTATACCCCTCTGGTAAGCCGATATCAAACGATGCTTGATCATCTGGTTTTATGTCCGCTTTCTTCTGCTTCTCATACTCTTTCATAATTTCACTCTTCTCTTCTAACTGTTCAACATAAAATGCATTTAATTTTACCAAATTCTTTAGCTTCCCTGCCTTCTGTAAATTCACAAAAATAGTCTCTGAGTACAGTAAAAAGAATAAAAGCGTCTTCTGAATAGGCTGAAGTGCCTCTAAATCAGATTCTTCCAAAACATTTGACACTCTGGTTATCTCTGGATATGGCATTCCTACCTTCCATCCGTTCAAATACTCCATTGAGTTAGTTGAAATGCTAGGAATTCTCTCTAATAAATCCATTAATGATGAATAATTAAAGAGCCCTTCCTCTTTTCCTGTTGTATATTCTAATTCTATGTCTTTACACTCTTTAGCCAAAGCAAATGCCAAGATGTGGTGCCTTCTAGTGTGGTTATACAATATTTTTACCATAAAAAAAGAGAAAAAGAAGATTCATTAAATTCACCGCATCTCTTCATATTATAGAAACCCACAAAAATATAAAGTATTCTTGGCCTAATTTTGTTTCCTTACATATATATTCAACAAATTCTGTCTATTCATTCTTATTGTTTAAAAATACAATATTGCATGCATAATATACTCCGAAAGAATTTCTCTGCTTTCTATTTTATTCGCACGCTTTCCAACAGAAGAATACTTTTATTTTTCATTTTTTCTCAGATACATCCATGGATAAAGTCAAAAGATACACAAAAGATGTAAAAATAGGAGAAGGAACCTATGCAGTGATTTACATGGGAAAAGAGTATCTTGTGAATCCAGCTGACGCATCTTCTGAAATAATCACAGAAACACCTCCACATAATGCACTTCCGGGTAGGCAGGTGGCTATAAAAAGAATTAAAAAAGATGCAACACAATTAGACATAGAAATGGCCACATTAAGAGAGATAAAATACTTAAACTATCTAAAATCGGAGTATGTAATTGAATTATACGACACAATTGTGCAAGACAGGCACATCCACTTGATATTGCCGTATATGGACAGCAATCTCGAGGTTATAATCAGAAGTAAAAAACTTATATTTATGCCACAAGATGTAAAAGCATGGATGCTTATGATTTGTAAAGGATTACAAGAATGCCATTCTCGTTTTATTATACATCGTGATATTAAACCAAATAACATACTTGTAAATAAAAATGGAGAGCTAAAGCTAGCAGATTTTGGAATATCTATAGACATAGGATTTCCGTTGCGTATGATGACACCTAACGTAGTGACTCGGTGGTATAAGGCGCCTGAAATTCTTTTAGGGTGTAACAATTATACATTTGCTGTAGATATATGGGCACTTGGTTGTTTATTCGCTGAACTATTACAGAGAAGCCCCTACTTGCCCGGTAAATCAGATGCCCACCAATTAGAATTAATGTACACCTCAATTGGAACGCCCACGGCTGAAGAATGGGAAGAAATAGGCCATAAAAAAGAAGGACTAGAACTGCCTGCGCATATACCTAGATGTAATTTTTCATTGTGCTTTGGAGCAGCAGGCTCTGATGCAATTGATCTGTTAAATAGAATGCTTGTGTATGTTCCCAGTAAAAGAATAACAATAAGTGAAATATTAAACCATCCCTATTTTACTAATTCCCCTGCACCAACCCCTCCACACCAACTCCCATTTGATTCAATATCACCAGGCGAGTAAGTTTTAGTTTGAATATATTCTGAGAATATTCTACAATTTTTACAGTATTTTTATATTTGCTGTATAATTTTTTTATGGATGAAAGAGCACAACTCATACCAGCAGCCAAATTAATGGCTCATCTGTCTTTAATAGATAAAGAAGAGAGAATAGACAAAGAAACAATAACTATTCTATCACAATTCACTGAAAAGTACATTAATGATATACTAACAAGATCTGCACTTTTAGCTAAACACAAAGGCAACCAAGTGGTCACTGCAGAAGAAATTAAGTTTGTATTAGAAAAAGAATTTGATTATTTCATTGGGACAGGAAACTAAATTAATTTTATTTATTTGGATTAATATTATTAAGTATAACAGTAAAATTAATATAAATCATTATATTTAGAGGATATTCTTTATAGTAATAATTATTTACTATTTTAGTATACGAAAATAAATCATTCTTTGTGTATAAAAGCATAGATAGTCAAATCTAATTATTGTGTATATACGGTTAATCTAATTAATTGTTATAATTAATGTTGTTTGGTTGTTAATTGTTCTGTCTGGCTTAGTATTTCTTAAATCTTCTATTTTCCTAGTCTCTTTTCAACTGTGCTGCTCTTATTAATATTTAAGTAAAATTGTTTACCCCTATACAAATATATATGAAAATAAATATACCACAATAATTAGTGTTATAAATATAATAGTCTTCCAATCCAATTTATTAGAAGACTTCTCTTTAATTGTTGTTATATTGTTGTCTTCTGTTAAATCAGTAATTACTTAATTTATTATAATTCTTTAATATTGCAGTAATTATGAAAGTGTTATAATAAACAGTAAATATAATTGATTTTATACTGTGCATATACACTAATATACATCAATATAGTAATAATCATTTGTATATTAAGTGTATATACGTAAGTATATAAATTCTAGCTATTTATAATAAAAATGAATTTTAAATATTCTTATAAAGCTATAAAATTGAAATATCTTCAGTGAATGGGTTTATAAAAAAATAAAGAAATACAGAAATAGAAATTATTGTAAAAATAATACAGACGGATTATACTAATAATATATTAGAAACACAGATTTATATGAGAAATACAGAAACGAAATCATGTAAATAATTAGACATAGAAAACAATATTATAAGACAGTCAATATTGCTTTATTATCTTAAAACAGTTTATTGATATAAGGTTTGAGGGGCCTCGAACAGATGGATGCC